CCCCGCAACATTTCAAGCAAAGAACATCTGTCCGGTGACTTCTGCCTTTGCTGGTCCATTTCCCCTATCAGTTGGCTACTTGTCACATCCTCCTTGCTCGACTATCGAGCCCTGTCCTTCATGCTCCCATCCTCCCCAGTTATCCCTATGTGCCAATTCTCTTCCTCAGCTTCTCACTATTCCAAATAGAAATCCTACTCCCTACATACAGGGAGAGCTAAACCAAAAGCAAAACCCACACTTCCTACAGGATTCTGACTCAAAAGAACACTTCCAAATTCCTAAATCATCCATTAAGCACTCCTCTGAGCCAGGTACTACTGGGGACAGGGGGTGGGGGGAGGGGAGCGAGCACAGAGTGAGCAGGAGAGCCAAGTAGTCACCATCCTCTTGGAATTTCTATTTGAGTAGGGAGTAAATAAACAACATTGATCTCACGATATCCCAACCCATCTGTTCATTTACTGACATCTTTTCTTTCTTGTGCTATGTCCATATTGACAAAGTTTTCCTTCTTATTGCCTCTCCAAACTCGGCTGTGGTTAGCTGCCACAGCAACCCGATCTGTGCACAACAGACGGAAACACAGCCTGGTCCTGCGCCAGCCTCACAATGGTTCCTGTGTTGAGCCCATTGTTGCAGCCACTGTGTCCATCCATCTGCTCTAGGGCCTTCCTCTTCCTCACTGCCCCTCCACTGTACCAAACATGATGCCCTCATCCAGGGACTGGTCTTTCCTGACAACATGTCCAAAGTATGTAAGATGAAGTCTTGCCATCCTTGCCTCTAAGGAGCACTCCAGACCACAAACACATACAAAAACGCACAAACCATATGCAAAGGAGCCCAGTTGGCACAGAGGGGTAACCACAGGGTCAGTGGTTCAAGCCCACCAGCCACCCATGGGAGGGTTTTCTGCTCCTATACAGGTGTGTCACCTTGGAAACCCTGGGGAACAGTCCTACTCTGCCCCATTGGGTCACTGGGGTCAGTCAACCCCACTGCAGTAGGTATATTTGGACCCATACAGAAGGCAGAAGAGCAATATATAAATAGTTCTTAAAAATCATACAAATGGAATACCAAAAATAGACTTGGGAGACAGAGTGTGGAACCCCATAAGACTCAACTGGAAAATACTCATGAAGGGCAACAAACAGATCTCTGAACTTTTTATAGGCTTTTCCATTTTTGTCAGTGGCTTTCTTTTTGTTATTGTGTTTGTTTTTTGCTGTTCTTGTTATTATTTTGTTGGTTTTGACTTCCTTTGTTGTTTTATTTGGCTTTGTTTGTTTTTTGCACTTATTAATGTATCTGCATATCTATCTAGATAAGACAGGCGAGATAAATAATTCAGAGATTAAAAGAACAGGACCAATAGTTCCAGGGGGGATATGGGAGAAGGGGAGGTAGGAGAAATGAAGGGGAGAGGGGACCAACCCAGGGACAAGGGAACAACAAGTGTACTAAGATCAATGGAAGGAAGGTCGTAGGATACCCTGTAGGCCTCAATCAAATGCAATGTAGCAGCAAGGAATTACTAAACCCGAATGAAGGCCAAACATGATGGTGGCACAAGAGGGAAGTAAAAAGGAAATAGAGGAAAGAACCAGGAGGCAAAGGACATTTATACAGGCCTAAATACAGGCATGTACATATGTAAATATATATATAATGAGAAGGGAATAGAACTATGTACTCATATGTATATGTTAAGAATTAAGGTTGCAGATGGACATTGGGCCTCAACTCAAGTACTCCCTTAACACAAGAACACTTTGTTCTAACAATTTGGCATTCTGTAATGCTCACCTTCCCGACATGATCGCTGAAGACAAAATGGGTGCATAAGCAAATGTGGTGAAGAAAGCTGATGGTGCCCAGCTATCAAAAGAGATAGCATCTGGGGTCTTGAAGGCTTGAAGATAAACAAGCGGCAATCTAACTGAGAAGCAACAAAGCCCACATGGAAGAGGCACACAGCCTGTGTGATCATGAGGTGTCAATGGGATTAGGTGCCAGGCATCTAAGACCCAGAATAAAACCATACCCAAGGTGAATTGGGGGGCAGGGGGGGGGGGGGGGAGGGCATGGAGTAGAGATCCAATGCTCATCTGTAGACAATTGGACAGCCCCTTACAGAAGGGTTACAGGGAAGAGATGAGCCAGTCAGGGGGCAGTATAGCACCAATGAAACACACAACTTTCCTCTAGTTATTTGGTGCTTCCTTCACCCCACTATCAGGGCCTCAATGCTACCTTACAAATCAGATTAGATTAGAACACGCATACTGCTACAGATAAGAGCCCGCAACACAGGGAATCCCTTAGGGCCAACAAGGAGAGTAGAGATACCAGGAGGATTAGGGGAGGGTGGGGGTAGAAAACAGGGAGGGTAAAGGGAAAATGGGTAGGAAAGAGGGAACCGATTACATGGAACTGTGTGTGACCTCCTCCCTGGGGGACAACCAAAAAGTGGATGAAGGGAGACGTCGGACAGGGCAAGTTATGACAAAATACCCATTTATAAACTATCAAGGGCTCATGCGGGAGGGGGGAGCGGGGAGGGAGGGGAAAAATGAGGACCTAATGTCGGGGGTTTAAATGGAGAGAAAATGTTTTGAGAAACGATGTACAAATGCGCTTTACACAATTGATGTGTGTATGGATTGGGATAACAGTTGTATGAGCCCCTAATAAAATGTTAAAAAAGAAAAAAAAAGAAAGGGGGAACGGATCACAAGGATCAACCTAGAACCCCCCTCCCAGGGTACAAATAATGGAAAAGTGGGTGAGGGGTGATGAAGGACGATGTAAGATACAGAAATAGTAATCTAAAATTTATCAAGGGTTTGTGAGGCAGGTGGGGGAAGAAGGGGGAAGAAATGGGGAGCTGATATCAGGGGCTCACATAGGAAGAGAATGCTTTGAAAATGATGATGGCGGCATATGTGCAAATGTGTTTGACACATTGGAGGAATGTATGGATTGTGATAAGAGATGTCAGAGCCCCCAGTAAAAGTATAAAAAAAAACCCCAACTTAATAAATGTTTAAGATAGTTTAAAATAAAATCATAGAACTGGCACAACAACCTGGTTAAGTATGCTAAGCTCACCAAGCAAAGGCATCCAGAGAAGACCTGAAGCATCATTTGCTGCTCACCAGCTTGAACATCATCGCAACCGTCTTAATGTGGGGCATCTGAGAGGAGTGGTCAGAAGAGTGGTCTCAATGAACCACCCTTGTGAAGGGCAGTTTGGTTTAAGAGCACGCTTGACCTTGCCCACCCTCTCCTCCAAATCTGCGCACCCCACCAGGGCGAAGGCAAGGGTGCGGGTCAGGAGCGGCAGCACTGCAGGCTGGCCGAGGGACTGCTAGGTAGCCTGGGACCCCGGCGTCCTGGCTTCCAGCTTGGATTCCAGCTTGGAGGCGTTGCGGGGGGGCGTTTCTCTCTAGACGTGGCTACCTAGGACCACAGGCAGGTACTTACTTAAAAACCACGACTGACCTAGTCCCGACAGATGACAAAACAAATACATTGTGCTCACACTAACCCCCTACCCGGTATTGATCCTCCTCATTCCTCCCCCCCACACCCCTCTCCCCGCTCCCTGTCCCCCGCCCAAGTCCCACAAGCCAGCACTCTTCCCGATCCCTCTCCTCAGTCCCCAACAAGGGTCTAAGGAGACAGATTCCATTACACACACACACACACACACACCCCGACTTCAAAGCACCCAGCAGCCTGGGGAAGACCCTGGAGGCAGCGAGCCAGACACTCCTACCTGGCCCTCGGCGCGGTGTCCGGTGACAGAATGCGCATCCCGGGCTTGCACTTAATGTAAGACCCTGGAGGCAGCGAGCCAGACGCTCCTACCTGGCCCGCGGCGCGGTGTCGGGTGACAATGCGCATCCCGGGCTTGCACCTAATGTACAGGGCGTGCTGGGGGGGGACCTCCCCCAGCCCAGCGCCCCTCCCAGCAGTGACTAACGGACGGACCATGGAGCATAGGAAACCGAAAGTGCAATGCATTTTTTTTTTAACATTTTATTAGGGGCTCATACAACTGTTATCCCAATCCATACACACATCAA